GGGGGGGGGGGGGGCTTTTAAGGACAAGTGGGCTATCCCGAAAGATGCTGTTTTGAGAAAATCGAAGGTAAAAATGTTCCCCTTGTTCAGTTCCGTTAAAAGACAAGGAGAGTTTTGTATGTAACCAAACAAATATACACATCAATAAAACCAAACTTTTCCTTTTGGTAGGGCAATATCCACTTTTGGTGTAGGTCAAGATTTCTGGAAAACCCCGAAATCTGGGTTAGCCCGCTTGTCCTTAAACGCGACCGTAATATTATGTCTATGGTGGTACCTTTTTTTTTGGGGGGGGGGGGACTATTGTTGTATCTATCTGGTGTTTATCTCCTTTTATTTGGTTTGTGTATATTCATTTAATGTTAATCTCTGTGCATTTTGTTCTCTCTTATTAGTGTAACACAGCAATTGAACACATGGATCTTGAAGGAAACTGGATCATGGCTGAAGGAACAGTTCATCTGTGCCGAGTCTTGAGAGAAAATGTTTTCCTTACTGAGCTGGTAAATCAATCCACATACTATGATCAGAACATCTTTTTATTAAGCTTTTCCTTCATAAAATCTAGTAGGCCTACCACACTTTTGGTTTTATAAAATAAAACTAAATAAAAACACTTTACAATCCCCCCACCCTCTAAAAAACAAAAACAATAAAAGAACTGACACTACTGCTACTTAAATACGTAATTTATAACCCACAGTTTGTACAGTGGTTTTCTACTGCAGACACTTGAAATATTCCGTTTCTGTATTTAAGATATTAATAATCAAAGTCAGCATGAGTGGGTGGTTGGCGGGTGCTCTGGTGTAGTTTGCTCCTTCTTTCCTACACAAAATATATCGTCTCTATATCCCCTCCCTCTTTTTTGTGTCTGTTACTCTCTTGTAACACCTCTAATCTTCGGCACTTATATGACCTTATTGTGTTGCAAGTTCCGTAAAACACTTACCAAAACTAAAACTAAAAGTCAGCATGAGAGTGGTCTTTTTTACGCGCTCTTTGTTGTCAGGATGCAACAATTTTAATCTTGTAAACCTGTGAACGTCTTTATGGAACGATTTAGTAATTGGTTATTTGGTTTATAATAAGTTCTTCGAGTGCATACTCACCGATTGACAAACAAAGAAGCAGACTTGTTAGCAGATCCTACAACTGGATATCTGGGAAATAGGAGGAGAGACAGACAAACTGACGAGGAAGACCAAAGAGGATAAGAGGGACAGATAGACAGACAATTTAGTTAGAGAAAACCTTGACATAATGCTATTTAAGGATTGTTGTTTCATTTTTTCCTCTTTTTTTCCCTCTTCATTTGTTTCTAGAACTTGTCTGAAAACAAGATTGAGGACGAAGGAGCAACAACGGTGTGCAAACTATTGATAGAGAACAGAACCATAGAGAGGCTTGAGCTGGCTGGTCAGTTGTCGCCTATGTAATTGTGATGGTGTTAAAACTGTTGTTGTTGTTGTTGTTGTTGTTGTTGTTGTTGTTGTTGTTGTTGTTGTTG